GGAATAGAACTCATGCTGAAGTGGCTTTAGCTTCACCAGGGAGGGCCGACATTATGCTCTTTTAATTACGCTGTGAAACTTAGTTTCAAGACATAATGTGCCTTCTCAACACTTTACTTCATAAGATAATAAACATGTTGGTAAACAATGCAGTGATACTTAAGACAGCAAGTCCTTTGTAAAAGTCACCAAATTAAGAAAACATTAGTAGGAGACTACACAGGAAAGAATTTATATGACTGGTTTGGGGGGATTGGTTGGGAAATCAAAAGTCAAAAGTTGGTTTTCTCCATAAACTAAAGGACTGGTAGGGAAGGGCATTAAAAATGTCAAAAAATAAGCAATAATCTACATTTTGAGAATTTATGTCTCCTAATTGTTCAAAATAAGTAACTGAACATGGATGACTTTAAGAATTATTTTAGAACAGCAGTTCTCAGCTGAGGTGATTTTGTCAAAGACATTTGGCATTGTCTGGAGATAATTTTTGGTTGTCATAACCTTTATCACCTTAAACAAATCTAGGGTAAGAGTTTATAAAAACAAAACCTTACCTTTCATCCCAGCTCTCACTGTATCATCAATGGTTAAAAGTGCCTCGACTGCACTCTGAGCATTATCAGATAACTTTTCTTCACCTTCTGGCCAAGGAATATCTACAAATACAATTAGTATGTGAATCATTTCTCAGAATAATAATGCTCAGACATGAATGAATTTATATTAATAGAAAAAGAATCACCTCTTTTCAGAATATTCTGGAACACTTGTTGTGGTGTTTCATCATTAAAAGGGGGAATTCCTGTCAGAAACTCAAATAAGCAAACTCCAAGTGCCCACCAGTCTACTGCAGGTCCTAGGAGTTAAAAGGAAGTAGCTGAACTTGCAAGCATGTTCTACAAAAATATGATCAATCTAAACATTAACATATGGATATATATGGACAGTCAAGGCATTCATTTGGCTTTATAAGGCGCAAAGCCCCAACTCACCTGCATGGGAGTAGCATTAATTTTAAGAAGTTTAGATTAGCAATTAACACAGCCAGTTTAAGCTACATTAGCAATCTTCTGTCATGTTAGAGTAACTTTTGACATTTATTTTTCTGAATCTTAAAATACAGCCAAAGAATGCATTTAAACTAAAACTCTCTAAAACAGAGTACTTCTCATTTTCACCTTAGGAAACAAAAGCATTTAGATATTTGTGTATCCCATTCCTTTCGCAAAAGTATGAGAAGATAAAGTGATTTATTTATATTAAGTAAAAGCCTGGTGTTTTAATGTGTTTATTTACCTTTTAAGAACAAAAAGGAATAAATTAGTTTAATCGAGGAAAGTCACTTAAATTATAGCTTGAGGAGGTAGTAGAAAATGTCAAAAAATAAGTAAAACTGACTTCTAAATAACATGTTTGGAAGCTGCTTTACATACAAAGATATTTTAATGATCACTTAAAATGTAATCTTGTAAGGTGATTTGGTTCTTCTGTCCACTGTCTATGAATAAAGTGTTTCCTAAGTAGAGATTTATGCTAATATGAATTAACTTCAATACAAATGTAGAGTAGGAATTCATGTGTAGTGCTAAATTTGTCTGAAAAATTACTCTTTAAAGTCAATTTCAAAAATTCATAATGTGGCTAAGCAACTAGCACTATTCTGCTTTAAAACAAGCAGGAAAGCAAGGTGGAGTCTGTCACTAGAAAACAAATGCCTTTTCCTCTGCAAGCCACATAACCCCACTGTCCAAGGGAAAGGATGCAGATAGTCCAGATAGGCTTCACTCCATTGTTATCACCATGAAACACATATAAATCAGCTGTTAGTAGAGCTAATCAACACTGACAAGAGATATTCTAGTAGGTTAGCTAGTGTAACTAAGTGACAGAAAAGGGGAAATCAGGGAAAAAAGCAAATACTTACATTTTACCTTACTTAAGTTAGTAATTAGGTTAGTACTATTTTGGCTGAACTTTTTTTCCCAGTACAGCCAAAATATGCTCATGTCAAAAACATGTGATATCTGCATGGATATGTCACACATACCCATTTAGTTGAGTCAAAGTCCACTAAGATCACATATTATGACAAATTTTAGTAATTACATGTTAGCAGTTGAAGAACTAGCACAAGCTTGTTGTACACTGCTGACTTTCTAACCTAAAACCCACTTGTGTAATTTGTGGGGATATATTGATATAGTTTAGAAAATTCACATCTTTTTGCTACAAGGTTAATATTTTTATTAAAATAAAATACACTAGCATATTACTAATATACTTATATTAATATATTTTCTCAGTTGCAATAAAAAGACTATCTTTACACTTAAAGGTTAGAAAATATGCCACAGGCCTACACTTGTTTTCACAGAGAAGAGCAACCTCTCTGGCTATCTTTCTGCTCAGAAGAAATTTCATTTTTGTATTTCATAGTGAGCTGAAAGAAAAGCAAAATTTTTTATACCAGTGATCTAGTTATACTTTGTTTAGTTTAATATGCTTTGTCATGTTTTTACAGAGAAATTCACTTACCTGATTTAAGAAGCCCTGTATGTAAAGAAACAGTATTTAGGTACATTTTGTTAAAATTATGAGTTCATTTTTCTAATCATTCATTGAACTAGATACTAGGTTTTGTGCCAAATATAAAGGACACAAATATGAGAAAGAAAACACTTTTATCAAGGAGACAACAGTCTACTCTGGGAGAGACAATACAGATCATTTTAATATAATAAACTATCAGGATGAAAATATACAGAAGATGCTATGGGATACTCAGATCAGAATTCCTAAATCCACTGGGTCAAGGAGTAAGACTATTGAGGGAAGATTAGAGAAAGTTTAGCTAGGCTTTGCAGTATGTTGTTTCTTAGCACTATAAAGTAATTGTCAGCCACAGCAGCACAGGTTCAATCCCTGGTCAGAGAACTGACACACACGGCACAGCAGACCTCCCCTGTCTCGCCTGCTGCTCCCCACTGCAGAGGGTCTGCCTGTTCTGCCCATTCTGTCTCTGGTGAATCCTCATCCACCCATCCCACACCGTTGGCTTATACCCCAGTTCTTGTATGCATAAATAAATAATTTAGGGCCCTCCCAGGTGGTGCAACAGTTTAAAGTACAGCACTACAAAGCTAGCCACAGCTTCAGCATGAGTTTGATCCCTGGCCAGGAAGGTGACCCACATAGTGTGGCAGACCTCTTCTGTCTTGCCGGCTGCTCCCCTCAGTATTTTGTCAATCTGCCTGTTCAGTTCCCTACTCTCTCTGGTGAATCCTCTCACTGCTTCTGCACCTCTGGCCTGTACAGTTCTGTATGCATAAATAAATAAATCTTTAAAATAAATAAATAAGTCTGTGAAAAATAATAGAAGAAGAAATGTAGGAGCTGAAGTGACTGCCTCATGAGGCTGGGATTTGGGGGAATTGCTGCTTTAAAAAAATTATTATAAATTGCTTTGTACTATTTACTTTTAAAAACTATATACAGCACTGAATAGTATTCATTGTCTGGCTATGCAGAGTTTATCTACTTATCTACTGAAAGACATCTTAGTTGTCTCCAAGATTTGGGAAATGTGAATAAAGTTGCTATAAATATTAAGTAACTGTATATCAGATTACTTATAAAAAATATGTCATTAGATAGATATCGAGGTTATTACATGTCCACTAAAAGGGAAGTAAGATCCTATAAGATCTTTAAATTTGACGTTTACTTCATAATAAATCCTAAATTAAAATAAATTATAATATAGGAGATGAGCTAGCAAATTTGTGACTTAGTTTCAAAATGGCAGTATACTAGATAGAGTTAGCTAACTACCTGAGATTCTTCAGCCTTTTAAGCCTTCAGTTTCAGTAACTTTTATATTTAGAAGTAAAAGGAATGAGACACAGGACAGACTGGTGGATTTGACGATGAGGGTATCATTAGTGATTGCTAAGCAAATAAGAGAGTCAACTTTGAGAAGTCAGGCAGTGTTCTAGGGAAGTCAAGGGTAAAAACATTTTCAGGCTAAGAAAAAACATCAGCAAAAAAATAAAAACAGGCTTGGGCAGGGAATATGGAATGGATGATCACCAAAGGAAGCCAAAGCCAAGGGAAGCAATTAATATCAAGATGTGAAGAAGCATTCATGTTATGGGTTCAATTCATATCCCCTTGAAAAATATCTTTTTAAGTCCTACCCCAGAAATTGCAGTTATATAAATGACTGTCAAATCAATATAACTTGAGAAAACAGAATGACAGACAACTGTTCAGAAACGCAAGATGTATACTCACCATGAGCTCTGCCCAACAACAGCTCAGGGGCAAGGTAGTCTGGGGTCCCAAGGATCCGCCCATCATCCACAGGAGCTGCCCCTCTTCTCACACTCTTTGGGGTTCGGTATGGAGTCTCTGACTTGACTTGCTGTGGGGTCTGCTAATTTAATAGACAATAACTATCTTAGTTACTCTCCCAGAGAATTACTTCTCAGCCATTTGGCTAAGATCAAGAGTAATTTCTCTAACAGTGAAATGTAACACCAAAACAAAAGCCATGCTGGGCATAAGACCTGGTCTCCTATTAAGAACTTGGTGACTTAGAAGTTCCTCATGTCATCCTGTTTTAAGGATGATACCTATCTACGAAAAATAACTTGATCAATTTGGAAACCCTTGCTCAATTTGGAAAATGGCCTCATCACTAATTATAATTAAGAGAAGTCCTTATGCTTAATGAAATTCAGCAACTTAGATAACACGAATTATTTCAGTAAGATCTGGCTATTTAAGAAACAATTAAAAAAAATTACCAGAATATTTTCTTTACAGCTTGGATTAAATAAGCTTAAGAACAGTCACTGAAGAAGACTGCCTAAAAAATGATTGAATTATTAGGAAACTATAAATACAAGTATATAAATACCTTATATGCGAGTTGACATTTAAGTTTTAAGTTACTTTATTGTCTCACACAACTCTGAGGTCAGCAGGCATCGTTATACTTTATAGACACATGGAAAACACGATGACATAAGGGTCTTCTAACTAAGTTCTGAACAGAAAACCATCTCTTCAATAATATGAAGTCTTATTTAGAATTTACAATATTAAAACACCTCTCCAAAAGAAGAAAAAGAAAAGAAACTTTGAGCTTATAAAGGTCTAGAAAGTAAGAACAACATAAAGATTTGAAATACATATTTTTAACAACAACAATCATCTAGATACGTAAGCCTTTAGGAGGCAGTAAAGTAGGGCCCTCCATGTTGGCACAGTGGGTTAAAGCGCAGCACTATGAAGCTATCCACAGCCACTGCAGCAAGAGTTTGATCCCCAGCCAAGGAGGTGACCCACATGGCGTGGCAGACCTCTCCTGACACACCCACTGCTCCCCTCAGCAGTGCACTTTAGCAGTCTGCCTGTTGTGCTCCCCACTCTGCCTCTGGTGAATCCTCTTACTGTGCCCCCTCCCCTGCACCTCTGGCCTGTAACCCTGTTCTATATGCATAAATAAATCAATCTTTAGGAAAAAAAAAAGAAGGCAGTAAGGCAGAGTGGACTTCAATTTTGTAACTCACAATGTTACAGTGATCAAGTGAAAATATGTGATTGTAAACCTGTGATTGAAAATGTGTGGAAGTAAATACAGCAATACAAATGAAGGAGACATGGTATTTAAGAACATATTACCAGCTTTACTTTTCTACATTAAAACTTTCAACAACCCATAGATTCCCAACAAGCAGAACTGTATGATTAATCACCACACAGTCTAAGTGAGAAGTTAAGTGTCTGGTCATAATAGTTTATTCTTCTAAAAGTCAAAGGACAAAGTGGTGAAAATTATAACATACCTGGTATGGAATACAAGATCTTCCTTTTTGATTTGGGGTTATAGCCATGGGATATGAACCACTATAAGCAAAGGAAACATCCATGGCATCTAAGGAAGAAACACTCATTTTGGATGGTTCTGAGTTATTGGATACATTTATGTGACTGTTAAAACTTCGAAAAGCAACAACATTTCTTTTGGATGAGGTTAATGTTTTCAACACCTCTAAAGAAGGAGCTGACATTTTTTGGTTACTGTCCTGGACAGCAAGATTTTCATCTTCTTTTGATAAGGTATTTTCTTGGCAGCTGGATGATCCAGTAAGTAGGTCTTCAATATTTGATCCTTCAAAAGAAGATTCCTTGATGCTTTTATCTGGCGCTAACAACTGCCTTTCCAACGGACTTTCCATGACAAAAATTTCAGGAAAAGGTGGATCGGAGTCCATAGAAACACTTTTAGGAGGTCTATCATCATCAGAACAAAGAAAACTAGAACTTAAGTAGTCCTTCTTATTATTCTTGTCACAATCTTCATCCAGTTCGCACATAAGGTTTTTTGCTATCATTGGGATAGGTGATTTTTCTGGTGTATGCTGTTTCTCAGTAAAAGAACTGGCCATGTTCTTACTAGCACAGTCATTTTGCTGACTTCTATTTGCTGATAACTTAAGATCCTGGATTTCAATTGTTAAGCCTGTGCTTTGATTTGAATCACAATCTCTTATTTCATTACTACGCTTACAGTCTACACAATTTTTCTTATTCTGTATAATTTCCTGACAAGGGCTGGAGTCAACCAATGCAAAATTTCTTTTAAAACTTCTTTTCCCAAGGTGCTCTTCAGACATATCACCAGTATCCATAGCCCTCTGATTTGACTGATCAAAATCAGACTGTCTCGTGTCAGTGGCCATGTGACTTAGATCCAGTTCTCTTGTTTCCCAAGAAACTTCCTCGGACAAGCAGTTCTTGGCAAGGTTTTCACAAGAGCTTCCAGAGGCAGGAATAGCACTACTATTATGAATGGGAGAAAGGGCTAACTCAAGATCTGTGTCAGTGAAACTTTTGGTCTCAATAGAGTTTGTAGATTTTATACATAAAGGCTTTTCAACTGTGTTCCAACTCATCACTGCAGAACCCAATGCATCATTACTTTCCTAAGAGGAGACAAAAAACATTTTTAGTTAAGTTGAGATTCTTTAACTTTTTAAACCTCTGTCCACTTAGATGGGCTAAAAAACAAACCCATGAACCAATACGCTAACTATTTTTATTTTCTAGTGGATTAAAAGGACAATGTAGGCCCTCCCTGGTGGCGCAGTGGTTTAAAGCACTGCACTAAGAAGCTTAAGCCACTTCCACATGAGTTTGATCCCCACCTGCCCCGGAGGTGACTACATGGCATGGCAGACCTCTCCTGACCCGCCTGCTGCTCCCCTCAGCAGTGTACTTCGTCGATCTGCCTGTTCTGCACCCCACTCTATCTCTGGTGAATCCTCTTACCCTCCGCATCTCTGGCCTGTACCCCAGTACTGTACGAATAAATAAATAAATCTTAAAAAAAAAAAAGGACAATGTAAAAGAATTAAAAATCAACATAAACAATTATAGTTTTAAGTAAAACTCTGATCTAAAAATAAATAAATTATTCCATAAAACTTATCTGATAGTATTACATGTCATTTAGATAGAACAAATAAAGTAGGCCAGATATCAGGCAAATTTGGAGGTAAGGTTACTACACACACACACACACACACACACACACTGTTAACAGGAATAGAGGAGATTCTGTTTTAAATCCCAAAATGTATAGGTCTTGAAATTTAGTTAAAGGAAACCCCAAATTAAAAATGTTTATGTGATTATGTACCACATGATACAGGTAAAACAAAGTCAAGTTGATATGGATGAAGCTAAATCAATGGTAGTTTATAATTAAAAACCAGTATTACAGAAGTTACGATTCACTGTCAACAGGATGAAATGATGAGGAACTGGTAACATGTTTTTTAAAAAACTGAATTTTAATATCTACAGGTGTTCTTGTGTGATCAGACTTCATATAAAACATCGCAAATTGGTGATTGGTAATCAGGACTTTTACAAGAGTACTCAATTACAGTGAAGGCTGATAGATCCTAATAATGCCTCTGTTTGATATAGGGAAAATGAAACATTACTAACTTATTGAGCAATAATAAACAGAACTTAGCCCTAAATAAAACAAAAATTCCTGAGTCACCACTCGCTGATTTACAAGTAATATAGAGAAAATGATACCCCTGGGGATTAGCACAAGGTTTATCAGGGGTCCTTTATGGTCCATTGCCATTCCTCTGATCAAAACTTGAGAAGCAGGGCTATAATCCAATTATTGCAACCCCCAGAGATACGAAAGTGGGTGAGAAAAAAGTAAAGCTATACACAGCTTAAAATATAGTATATAATTTATTGTATGGGAAAAGGGTGAAATAAAAGTAGTAGGAATGGAAATATGGTTTATTCTGTAGGACAGATCTATTATCTATATAGCCACCTATAGTGAAAAAAAGAAAATATTTTTAAAAAGCTTGACTTGGGCTTCCCTGGTGGCTTAGGGGTTAAATTTTACTGCTATTGCCCTGAGTTTGTCCCTGCCAGGAAGGTGGCCCACACAGCACAGCAGACCTCTCCTGTGTCACCCACTGTTCCCCTCAACAGAGTTATTACAGTAGATCCATCTGTTTTCCACCCCACTTTTGTCTACCCCCTTGTGCACCTCTGGTAGTTCATAAAAATATATTTTTAAAAAGATTGACTTACTTTTAAAATATAAATACCCAACAATAATAAGAAAGATCATATTACTGAGAATAAGGAACATATACAATCCAAATTATTTTATCAAAGGGAAGTTTTATTCTTTATGTACTCCATTATTCTAACATTTTATCAGCAGTCTATGATGGGAACTCTAATTGCAAATTTAATTTCTCTCAGTTTTAATATTTGTTCATCTTAATTGCTTGAAAAGGACAAAAAGAATAAATAGAAATAAATAAAATAACTCTAAGAAATGGTTCAAGTTAGTAAGCAATCGCCTTAGAATAGATAATTTAAAAGGAAAACCTATGTTACCTTTGTGGTCTAAAAGTTATTTCTGATCCAGAAATGTTATCATCCCATTAAATGAGAAACTGGTGGAAAACAGTATAGGAGAAAGTAATACACAGTTTAAAATAAGATAAAGGTTAACAAAATTCAACAAGTAAATGTCTTGTTGAGCAAATGTACAATGCTAGGGAATTAAAGACTGAAGTCTAGAAAGCCTGGAAGTCAAATATAACAGTTAATTTACTGACTAATTTAATAATTTAGAGTCTCACTATATTATCAAGCAATACTTTTATGTTTGAGAAATGAATTGTTTCAAAAGTAGTGGATGGATTGTACAAGGAAACAATTTTTGATAATACCTTGACTGTCATTCATTTAACAGATTTATTTCCTTACAGAACTTACATGAAAAGATTTAAGGTATTTATGATTAATTTGACATATATAATAGATTTTGGTTCAGATAAATTTCACTCTAACCTGGACATCCTTTTCCCATCTGGGACTGCTCTGGCATTCAGATTCCACACTTGATATAAAGGTGTGGGACTGACTGCTTGCACTTGAGGTAGCCAATCTTTTCCTAGACTGAAGTAGATTAGAAGTTAGACACTTCACAGGTATTCCAGGGTTAGAGGCAACTGGTTCAAGACCTGTAGAGCAGAGAAAATATTAACGTACTAATGTTTAAGTCACATCTTTCTTAGTTCCTTACTGAATGCTCCCTACTCTGTCTCTGGTGAATCCCCTCACCCACCACACCTCTGGCCTGTACCCTCGCTTTGTATGCATAAATAAATAAATCATTAAAAATAATCCAACCCACACAGATGGTTTCAGTTGTTTTGGGCATCCAAGAATGGTTCTGAATGTTAAAAAATAAATTCTCAGACCTCCCTGGCGGCCTAGAATTAAAGCTATCACGTGAATTAAATCCTAGATCAGGGAACTAACCTACATATGGCAAAGCAGACCTTTCCTGTCTTACCTGCTGCTCCCCTTAGCAGCATATTTCAATAAATCCACCTGCTATGCTCCCCACTCTTGTCTGCTGCCGAATCACCTCAACCCCCTCCCCACCCCACACCTCCCGGCACTGCACCTCTGGTCTACACCTCAGCTCTTCTTCACAAAAATAAAATCCTTAAAAAAATTTTTTTTAAAGAATTAAAAATCTCTCAACATTGGTAAAGTAAAAATTAGGACAAGGGAACTAATTTATAATTTATAAATTTATAAACTCTTCTTATTAAAGGAACATTACTAATGTGTTGTTGACTTAAATACCTGTAACAGTTCCTGTCAGAAATACCTTTCACATGATCAAATATAAGAATACTACCAGCTAGTCAAATATTTGCATTTTAAATTTATTGCTATTAGAAATTTAAAAATCTAAAACATTTTTATTCCTCAAAGGATATACTTATAGGAATAAACTATCTTTTATACTCACATGGCTTCAGTGGTTTACTAGAATAAGGAGTAGTGACCTTCTGATCTATAGACATAGGAGAAATTGCTCCTTGAGAAAGCTGTGATGTTTCAGATAGATGGGTTGAAAGGATATTTGCAGAGTCTTGATTTTTTTCTGTAATTGGTGTGAACTATTAAGGAGACAAAAGCAAATGCTAAAACTTACCTTTAGAAAAATAGCATCTAAGTACAAAAACTATTATACCACATAAGTATATACACTGTTAAAGTAACTCAAAATGCTTGATATTTTAACTTATTTTGAACATTTATTTAAAGAAAGAAAAAGATTTTAATTTTTAAATAATTACATAAATTTTTTACAATAGTATTTTTTAAAAATCAAACACTTACAAATCCCAAAGAACTAATGAGAGATAATATTTGTCCAGGGGTTCTTGAATAATCTTGTCTTGGTTTAGCCATTGATGGTGTTGTGAGGATATCCATCATATTAATATCTACATATAGAAAGAAAAGTATACAAAATTCTTTAGAAATTTCAACTGTCGGCCCTCCCTGGTGGCCCAGCAGGTTAAAGCACAGCACTAAGAAGCTAAAGCCACTGCATCATGAGTTCGATCCAGGCCCCAAAGGTGACCCACATGGCGCAGCAGACCTCTCCTGACCCGCCCGCTGCTCCCCTCAGCAGTGTACTTCAGTCTGCCTGTTCTGCTCCCCACTCTGTCTCTGGTGAATCCTCTCACCGCCCCTGCACCTCTGGCCTATACCCCAGCTCTGTATGCACAAATAAATAAAAATCTTTAAAAAAATTTTTTTCAACTGTCATTGACTAAATCAATGACTATCTATTCTGAACTTTGCCCTATTTCTACATTATTAACATTATCTACAAAACTGGCTTGCACAAGGTTTGTACAAATATACCCAGGGAAAGCACCATGCAGTAAACACATAACTAAGTAAATGACGAAAAATCATAATAGGAAAGAACAGAGTCTTAATCTAGAATGAAGAACACAGTATAATAAGCCAAAGTCTTTTTACAAAGCACTTAGTCACTTAACAAGAATGTTATCTGTCGACAAAGTACTTCTTGGCAAATCAAATATTAGAAAAGAAAGTATAAGAAAAACTAAGGAAGGAATCAAGATATTAGGAACATTAATTAAATTTAAATATGAGGATCTTTGTAAGGAATCAATATGAAGTACAGGACCCTAATGTTAATCAACATGTTCAAGTAAGTGTTGGTCAAGATATAAACAGATACAAATTTTTATCAGGTTTCAGTGTTTAATATTATAAAATAACTCAGCATTTACTGTATTATTTGCAACTAATACAGTCCTGTTTTTAGATATTAAAAACAGTAACAGTAATGTAATTTCCTGCATGTGGTATGAGACTTTAAAAGGTAGACTGAAAGTTTGAACTTAAATTTCATTAATACCTCACACTGATGAAGCGATAAGGAATAGCGAACAATATCTCAATATTTTACAAATAAAATAGTAAAAATATGGTAATGATTTCTTGGATATGGTTCGAAGTGCATAGGCAAAAATCAAAATAGGACTACCTCAAACTTAAAACTTCTGTATATCAAAGAAAACAACTTAGGACATGGGAGAAAATATTTGTATGGGTCTATAATAATCTTAAGTAATTCCTAGTTCTTCATACTAGTATTGCTGCTACAAATAATTTTATTTATATATATTTCATTCTTCTGAATCATTCTGTTAGAATAAATTCCAGAACAAGTCATTAATTAGGTCTAAGAGAATTAAAATCTTTTGTTTCTTAAAACACACTTGTAGATCTCCTTTGGAAAGCAATGTGCTAATTTACAATTTTCCTAGAAAAACTTAGTATGCTTTATGCTAGT